CCTCCCCCCCCCCCCCCCCCCCCACCCCCCCACACACCGGGTTTTACAAAGGTATAAGCCATCTCCATCAAGTTTCAGTAGAAAATGTCTTCAGGATCTTATAATACAAAACATGGGTAATGCATCTATACAGTTTTTATAATTGCACTGATATACTTGCTCCCAATAGGACATTCTATGGAGCCTATCATACTTACTGCTATTGTAGTTTACACAATAACCAGAATCAAGGATATTTATTAATTCTCAACTGAATTGTACACTTTCAGTACAATAGTTTTACAGTATTGTTAGTTTTGCATTTGCAAAAAACTAAAGTATGTATTCCATTTAACTAAGTTGATAATAAAAATATGGTTCTGTAACAACAAAAAATAATTCACCTACTATACAGTATATTTTATATCAAACATATCTGACTCAGAAACAAAAACAGTCCTAGCAAAAGGTCAAAATGCTTTTCCTCAGTATCTGTATAGATCTCACCTAAATCTTCTTCAGCCTGAATATATTCAAATATATTAAAAACATTGAATAAAGATATGCTTCTACAGTCAGTATTTCTTTCTTTCTATACACTTCCAATTCTTTTCAGTTCCAGGAAAGGCTCAACACGAGAGTCAATGATCGCAGAGAGTTAACAAAGCCTGTGATGTGTTTCTAGAGTATGAATTTATTTCTAACACATAATGTATCTTTGGTCAAGCATTAAATCTCATCTCTAGCTTCATACAAAAAGTGATCAAAAAGGGATCAAAAGTCAAAGATTTCACTATGGTGATGGGCTCACTGGATTTCTGTCACTGCCTATAGAGTTTAGCTTAACTTCTCCTCAGTTCAGAATGAAGTCTCATAATCACTATCACCTTGCCAGCGAGACAGTCTTAAAAACCCTGGGCCAGGGTCATGGGGTCGATTGAAATAAGGGTCAAAGTTTGAGGATTCCAGTGAGCTAAGGGAGCCTGCGAGTGACCCAGTACCCTCAAAGGCATAAGTGTGCAAGCAGTCGAAGGGAGGGACACAAGGGTCCTGGTCAGCCTCAGCCAGCCGGTCTATCATAAACTGGCGGAAGACTTCATCCTCTGGACCAATAAGGTGAGAGTGGCATAGAGACAGGCGTACACTTGCTACCACTTCCTCTCTACAGAATGTGTGCTTGCGGCGGTGTGGGTGTGGCCTCAGTGGGACTAAATGGCTAGAGCTTGCTGCATCCGGAATACCTTCACTCTCACTGTAATGTACGATTTTCTGTGAGTACTCCTCTGTGTCAAGTTCCTGGATGGCAAGTTTCTGCTGTTGTACTGTCCTGTGTCTCCACACAGCTACCATTAGTAAAGCAAGCACTGCAAGTCAAAGAAAGAGACATTATATTTACAACTTTGATGTTCTATTCACTTCTGAGCAATGAATGCTAACACCTTTTATTTTTATTTTATAAATTAGATCTTACATAATAAGATGTAACATATATCTTAACCTTGAAATGTACATATTTTAGCAGTATTAACTACATTTATGGCAATAGGCCTGGACATGGAGATAGATATGGAAACTCATTACTAATGACTGAAGTGATACTGTGATGTTCTTAAGTAGTTATGATCATTTGGAACAGTATTATAAAGCAAACACATGGAAACTTATTACTAATTACTGAAGTGTTAGTGTTCAGTTACTTATAAGTAAATCATTTAGCACAGATGTGCAGTTTCATAGTTTTAATAGAGGGAATTTGCATTTGCAATGTGCTGAGTATTAATCTCCAAAACTTACCAAATTTTGTGCCTGGTGGCTGCATTTTCTGTAGAAAATTACAACTGTTAGAGCTGCAACCTTCCCCAATTTTTTTTTTTTTTTTTAATTCAGGCTTGGGACTGGCACTGAGAGCACACTGTTGCATGCAACTCCAGGGTCTGGGAAGGGTTCCCTGGCCGGGAATCGAACCCCAGCCACAGCAGTGAAAGCATTGTGGCCTAACCACTACTCCTCTAGGGACCCTTTATGTGTTTATGTAAGTTTATGTAATAATTATGTGTTTATGGGCTGAATGAGGTCCATCAGATCTTAGAGAACAGTAAATTACATACGCCTCTCCCAGGGTCTTCCTATTTTAATAATAGATTTTTTGACAATTGTTTGGGATACACATCACAGGGCACCATGCATACATGTCAATCCACATTCATGCATCTTTTTGGCAGGTAGGAAGCCAGAGAACCAGAGGAAATGTGAAACTCCACAGACAGTAACCTGAGCTCAAGATCAATCCAGGGACCCTGGAGCTGAGCGATGACATGCTGTGTCACCATGTCAGCAATATTATTATTATTATTATTATTATTATTATTATTATTATTATTATTATTAAATCTGTGTTAACCTGTGGTAATCCAGGTTAAGGGAGATGGATTAGCTTGTCAGACAAGGGTCATACTTGCCTGCTTGATGTGTAACAGAGCTGATTTATATCTTACTGTCACAGGCTCTCTGTCAAAAGAGCATTCTGTGATTTATTAATTTGTTTGTTAGTGTCTAATTCTGTTCTGTATGCTGTTCTTCTGGCAGGAAAATAAATGTTGCTTTTAGTCATATTTAGTTCATACTGCAGTTCATACATACCTATTGCTGTGATGAGGCATATAGAGAGGCCTAGGAGGGCCTGCATGCTGAGAGCCAAAGCTTCCATTCCACTAGATGGGCAGTGCCCTCTAGACTGGCATACACATACACTGATGGTGAAAGTGGTAGTGCTGGATAGAGCAGGAGAACCACTGTCTGTTATGACCACGGGGAGATGATACAGTATCCGATCACTACGTGTAAATGTGCTACGACGGGTCAAAATGCCTGCTGTGTTGTCTGTAGAAAAAAAAGGGGGGTTCATTTATAAAGAACTGGCTGATGCATGATATATATAGATTTCATTCAATATATATCTCATGTTCTGCCTGTTTTTAGCAACAGGTGTCTAACTAAGCCTATCTATTTTGATTTAATAGAATTCAATTCTAAACTAAATTTTACTAGTAATAAACAATATTCCTTTGTTAGTTTGATATTACTTTACACAAATATAAGCTGTATTTTGTTACTGTATTGTGTACTGCACCTTGGTTGTCCCTGATGGTGAAGTTGGGGTTAATGTTTTTATCTGGCACCATGGAAAAATAAAAATGATGACCTTCTGCTGGATCATCTGCATCCACAGCACTTACAACCTGGATGACCTTTATTAACAAAAATGTTAGCAGAAGACTTTCAACAAACTCTCCATTATCATCATCTCTGTATTTGACTTCACAGTGACAATTTAAGTTTGAACTTAATTGTCTCTTAAGCATAATATAATATGGTGCTTACACTTAAGGTGCTTGTATCCAGTTTTATCCACACAGCTCATGGAAAACAATTGATATCACTCCCAAACAACAACACCAAATTTAGCATGTCTGCCCTAATTGACCATTTGCGATTTGGTTTTACATCTTTCTGCTGATAAACATTGAGTGAAACAATTCTTCAGAAGTGATATGTTGGCAGATACTGTGTGCCATGTTACTTAGGTTCTTGGACTTCCTTTTATATATTCTCTTATGATATCAAAGCAGATGTTTGGAATGCTGGAGACCAGTAATCAGTAAATTGGGAAAAGGTTATTATATTCAGTGGGTTCTTCTTGTTGGCATAATACATAGATAGGAGGGACAGGTTACAGGTAGGACATCAATGGTGAAAGAGAAAGAACAAAAGTGATTCTGAGAAGGCAAGAATAAAATGAAGACTCAAAAAGGAAGCAGTGAAATGCTTGAGAATAGTGCATATATTGTAGGTGAACAGTCTAAAATCCTAGCTAAAGCATTATAACACTGCTGACATCGGGAGCTTGGAACTTAGATAACATTAGTTTGTGTGTATATGTGCGTGTGTCAACATACTTCCCCTGCCTGTGTGCCCTCACACACATAGGGCTGGTAGTCCCTATATAGAGTGGGTATGTTGTCATTGACGTCTAGGACTTTAATGACCACAGAAACTGAGGAAAGCTGACTTTTACCTGGGCAGATAGATAGATAGATAGATAGATAGATAGATAGATGGATAGATAGATAGATAAAATGTAATTTGTGTAATGTGTTTAAGCCCAAAAAAGTAATAATATACTGTATCATTTGTGTAATGTGTTTATTGCTTTCTTTGTAAGGTGGTGACTCACCCCACATCAGGAAGACCTGAGCAAACTGACTGAGCTACCAACCAACACTTAATAGGTAGAACCCAAGTGCAGAGCAAATAATGAGAATGAACAGAAGAAACAAACATGAATTAAAGACCGCCTGGAGTCTTCAAAGTCACAAAGCAATAGAGCCTGGGGGGTGGGGGGTGTTGGGTTGGGGCGGATGGTGGTAGGGTGGAGTTGAGGGGATGGGTGGTGGTCGAGCTGCGGTCAAAAGGGAAGCTAGGCTTAAAAGGTATGCTGCCTGACACCTGCCCTATGGCAAACAAAACCAAACACCAGAGGGGCTCTTGCAAATGAAAATCAGGGAGGAAGTAACAGAACAAACTTAACCAGGAAGCATACAACCTCAAATTAATTGTAAACTTAGCAGCATCAGGGGAGAAACCCCTGACTGCTTGCAACAAGGAGCTAACCAGAAAACAAACGTTTTTTTTAACTCTTTCTTTTTCTCAAGGGACGGAACTTGAAAATCTCGAGACAGGGGCTAGGTTGACAAGATGAGGTCAGCCCAGAGCAGAGGAAGGACTAGATTACATCTGTAGTATTTTAAATTTACTGAATTAACGACCAAGTCTTTTGCCAGAATTCTGTAACAAAGACTGAACTCATGAGAGCCTGCGTGAGACTATTAAGTATCCAGGCAGACAGCTGTAGTTTATTGCTCCTGATTACTTCAGAGTGGACCTGTGCCTCCCTCTCGTGGCCAAAGATGGCCTAGCTGAAGACGCAGCCCCATGCAGGGCTGTTACATACTGCATGTGTTATTTGTTTTAGTTATTTTCATAAATAAATAAATAAATTTTAAATCTGACAGAAAAGCTTTTACCAGCAGTGTCAGAATTGAGCATGTATTTAATCATTTTATGGATTTTCTTGTGTGTATTTTTATTTGTTCTTCAAAACATTTTTAAGTTTTCAAATGGTGTTTGTTCTTCAAAACATTTAAGTTTTGAACAGTGCTATATAAATTAAACTTATTATAACATACCACTTGCACATCCTAATGGAAAAACAGTTGCATTGTAAATGCTATCTTTAGTAATACAAATAGATTTAGCATTCATCTATAACAATTTCTCTGTCAGTTAGAAAAGAGATTCTGTCCACTTACTCGTTTCTTTAGCAATAACAGTAAGATTTTGCCATGCTGCAGTCTCTCGGTCCAAAGGTTTGACCAGGGACACTGTTCCATTGTTGGCGTCAATCCTGAAGATATTCTTCAACTCAATGTTATTGGATATGAAAAACCTGGTAGGAAAAACAGTGCTTTTCAGAGAAAGGATTTAAAGTCCCCTCTGAAAGTTCAGTTCTTTTGTTTTTGCGATACACTGAAGACATTTAGGTTTAAGATCAAAAGATGAATATGAGACAATAGATCAGAATTTCAGCTTTTATTTCCTGATATATCGAGATGTCTTAAACAACTTAGAACATGGCATCACTGGTGGCAGGCCACACACCATTCCATTCACCATTCTCACCAGTCCATAAAACTCCAGAACTTTTTTGGCTCAACTCTGTATGTATTTGCAAATGGTATGGCCTATATATTTTTGTTCTCAAAGTCTTCTTGTTTGATGTCTCACTGTTAGTACACCAGTGGTTTCTTTCTTTTTCAGGACATTCCAAATCGGCATAATTGGCTATTCCCCATGCTTGTGCAATTGGACTGATTGATTTTCATTCTTTTCTCAGCTTCAAAATGGCTTGCTTTTCTCCCATAGGCAGCTCTCTTCATGTTGTTTTATTCTTTTTAACAACAAATGCAGCCTTCGCTGGTGAAACCCAGGGTACCAAGAGTAGATATTCAGAGCTATTAATTGTTTAAACAATTAACCAAATGGTGCCATGTTCTAAGTTGTTTAACACGGCTAGATGTAAATATCCGAAATGAAAGCTTAAATTCTGTAATCTCATATTCATCTTTTGATCTCAAACCCAAATGTCTTCTGTGTATAACAAAAAAACAAATAATTGGCCTTGCTGTTCCAGTACTTTTGGAGGGGATTGTATATTCTGAGAGGTGATAAGAACTGAAGTGATAAGTGGCTAGATTAAGTAGCTGTGTAACAATAAACAGCAATGTGCCTTGAATATACACTGAACTACCAGTTTATAAGGTAATCATAAAGTATTTAGTATATAATAAACTTGTGACCCAGTGTACACAAAGTTCTACTGTTACTCAATTGCTTCCCAACGGTCTCTTTAGTGATTGCTTTTCAATGCATAACACTACTGTTACTCAATTTCTACTAAACCTATTGTTTTCTTTAGGATATTTAGGGGTCCAACTACTGAAGGTGTTGGAACCCTATTGTAATTGTTATGATTTTTCTTCTTTTTCTTCTTCTTCTTCTTCTTCTTCTTCTTCTGTCTTAAAATGAATCATGCAGACCAAACATTAAGTCCTACAGACATGAAACTTAGTCAGTAGATAGTACACCCTCCCACTACTCAGGCTAGTGAGATGGGCCCAATTGGCCTAATTGGCTATAGCACATGGTTTTATGTTTTGATCCATATCTCATGAAATGTGAGTCCTACAAAAAAATTCTTTTTTTCTACTAATTCTGTGGGTTCTCCTAGAACAGTAAAGACCCAATGAAAACATTTTAAACAGTAAAATGTAGCTGTTAGATTTTTTGCTGATTTGCATAATATTCAAAACCTACTTTTGCGAAGTAGTCCTAGAATTTTTGGCAAATCATCTCTAATTTGGTTGCAAAGTACTCAGCAGAGTGTGAAACTAAATAAT